CTTATATATTTACATGCTGTCTAACCCCACCCCTTTAGAATAAGCTGAGAGCAGGAAGTGTTTCATTAATGTCTTTGTATTCCAGCACCTAGAACATAATATAGTAGGTGCTTAATAAATGCTTGTTGTTTGACTGATTAATTAATAGGTGAGTACACCAATACAAAATATTGCAATATCTCATAACATGAGTTTCTTGGTGTTTTAGGACTCACAATAAAATCAATTTCACCAATTCCTTTTTTCTCTAAGAGGTTCCTTTAAACCATGTAGATAGACAGTTAACATTTAACAGCTCTCTAGGATGAAATGCATGCACAAAACACTTTTAAGCTTAATTTGCATTATTAATATTTTTTCTATCACTTTCTTAAGCCTATAAATCAACAAAACAAAAATAAAGCCCTGATTTGTAACATTTGCCAATTTCCAAGGTAGATATGCTCACACTGAAAATTTAAGAATCATCTCTCAAGCATCCAGTACATCTTTGTTTTAAATCATTTAGCTGTAATTTAATTATTGTCATCTAGTTTCATTTTATAGCAAGAATGTTGAGATTGATACAATTCTGTTCCTCTATTAGTGTGCTTGGTTGTTTGACAAGGATCTCACAATTGGGATACCAATAGCTAATCATAAATCAGTCAACAAGCATTTACTAAAGATCTATGATTTTCAATGTATTGTAAGGTACTAGGAATACAAGGACAAAAAGGAAACAACCCCTATTCTCAAGGAATTTACATGCTATCATTGAAATAAGTTAATTTATAAAATATCTGAAAACAATGAGATATTTAACACCCTCTGGCTCTATTATACAAGGTGGTAGGAGCAATATCCTAACCTCTCCCTGAAAGCAAGTTAGGCTAGTTTTTCTTTAAAAGGTATTGAGACTTTCCTTGAGACTTGGCTCTGAGGACTAAGACTCAGATTCTTGAAGCCACTTCCTCATTGCCTCAATACAAAGCAACCATAAGGAGTACTCTGATGCTTAGCTGGTGTCCACACGATGGGCTACTCAGGCAGTTAACTCAGGAAATAGAACTTCCTTCCATTGAATCAACTTGAAGTGTCTGTAATCCCTAGCCTTCTTAAATATCCTTCTCCTTCTTTGGTAATTAAGTCTCTTTTTTTATGAATTGTTGAATGACTTACAAGTGTCTCATTTTGTTCCATTATTGAGTACCTAAACAAGCAGGGGCCTGGTCAGAATCAGAATGAACACAGAGCATATGGTTCTTGGAGAATTAGATAGGGGTCACTCAGGACTGAGAGCCATTTTGCATTTTTCTCTTTTTCATAGGTCACCATGACCGAAGAATTCACCACCGAGTGGCCGGTTTACTGGTGATCCTCACCTTGCCTGGTCCTCAGAGAGTAAGTACAGTTTGTTGCCATGTCTATACCAAACGCCTCTTCAGCTTGACAGAATTATCCAGAACTTGCGCTTAGCTGGTATCACCAGCAAACCCATGGTCAGCTCATGCCACAATGGGGAATATCAAAGGAGGATTTTGTGGAAGGATTTGGGATTTTTTTCCCAAATAAGGAAACTCCCTCTACCATTAAAGTCAATAACTGTTGTACAACTTATAGTCCTAGATAGTTGCTCAGGCCGCTGAGAAGTTAAGTGACTCGACCAGGTTTACTTAGTCAGTATGGGTCAGAGGCAGGGCCTGAATCTAAGTCGTTGTGCCCCTAGGCCAATTGCTTTACCCATTATACCACAGGGCTTCCCTTAGCATGCAAAGATCAAAAGTCCATGCCCTTTATTGTTGAATTGTGTCAGTGTGTGTTGTCTGGTACCACCAGGCTTATAACACAGTGGTCTGATCAAGAAAGTGGTACCAAAATGTGGCCTATCATGTTACATCAATATTTGTTACTCCAGAAAAGAAGCTTCACAAACACTGGACCAAGAGCTTGCCAACACTGGATGCTTTTGTTCTATAAGATAATGATGGAATTCTGCCCACATTACTACACATGCATCTGCAAGCTCCTGGCAATAAGGGTTAGGCAAAGTCTGCTTTTTAAAAGCTATTTCTCTTGGTGAATATGTGTGTATGCTGGAAAGGGGCAGTGGGCTTGTTTTTCCCCAAGGAATATTAATGTTTATTTTTAAATTGTTTTATTAAAAATTTTGCTTTGGAAATATTTGTATTTAAATTAACTCATTTCAAGGCATAAAGTATGATCATTTTTCTGTCATTCCTTCTATATGCCCATTAGCAGTCTTTGTTTTCCAATTCATTTATTTTCTTTTATATGGTCATAGTTCATGAGCACTTTTTGGGGGCTTTTTTTTTCACCTTGCATGATTTTCTAAAGGTCTTTTAAGACTTTTTTTGCATTCATCATTTTTTCTCCATCCTAATTACATTACATATTCCATCACATTATTATGCCGCTATTTACTTAACTATCCCCCCTCTTTCCCAATTGTTGGTCACTTAGGTTGCTTCCAGTTTTTTTAATTACATATAATGCTTCTATTAAATTCTTTGAATGGGTAGCTTTTTAAAATTTGTTTTTGATAAGAATATGAGGATATGTTCTCAACAATTATGCATGTCTCTTTTGTCCTCAGGTAGACGTAGAAATAATTTTCTGGATAAGACTAATCATTTTATGGAAATTATAGCAGCACTCATTCCCTTTGCAACAAAAGCAGCCGAGTGGCACAGCTCTATATTGCATGCAGAGTTCAGACTAGAAGAGGAGATAGTCTGTGCTTAAAGCCAGTGAAAAACGAGAAAAGAAAGAAACCTAACCAAAAAGGAGGGGGCAATGAAGGGCAGAGGGTCTGGATAAAACAGTATTAGGAAACTAACATTTTCAATTTGGCATGATTCTTTAACCCAGTTTCAAGTATATTAATCAGTTAAAATTCCAAATGAAATCTGCCAGTCTTTCTCCTGCTGTACATCTGAAAAAAATAGTAATTTCATCATGATCTAGTTTCTTGGTTCCTATGCTCAGTGAATTTAAGTCCCACAGCTAGTTTCTAAGGACAAATTAGAAAACAGCTGTTCTACTTCCCATTTTTTTCTCCAGGCCCTAAATTTACAATAAGGTGGTTTTTTAAAAAATATAATAATAAATTATTTACAACAAAAAAAAATACTTTTTTTCCTTTTCCCATTCTAAAACTTGTCATCTTTGTTTTCAAACACAAAACTCACAAATAACTTGGAAAACTCCAATCTAGTCCAAACTCCAGAAGATCTAAGAATTCAACTTTCTGATAAAATGCCAGCTTGTGACTTTCCAGAGCTCCCCATGGCACATCTGGACATCTGTATTTGGACATTTGCTCTGCTGTCCATGTAATACCCAAGAAGCATGCACAGCTGGGCCCTGATGTTTGCTGATACTGTAGACACCTCAGAGACCTGATAGTCCAAATGAACTAAAATAAATCGTATCCCTGTTTTTTCAAATCTTGATAAAACAAATTGTTCACTGACTAGAAAGCTTCATTTAAGTGGTGACTGTCAACCTCCTATCACATGGTGAGGATACGGTTTCCTCAGCCTGGGATAACCAATCCACACTCACCATACAGATGCATATGTGGAAAAGCAAGATCCTACAGGATGAGGAAAATGTTCCCACAAGATCTGAGCTGTGGAGTCGAACCGTCCCCACCAAATAGCAGAGGGCAACGTAACAACAAAAGATATCATCAAGATATATTGCTTCCTGAATTACAAAAAAAAGAAAGAAATTTGACAATGAGATTTTTTTTAAAGAGTAAAAACAGTCTCTGCAGTTATCCTTAAGTGAGGATAGAATTACAAAGGCCCATGATTCCTCATGCTTGAGGGAATAAGCTGGGGTCAGGAAGAAGTTTCCTCCAATGATATAGTATTGCACAATTAGATTTGTTATGGGGGTTTCCTGTCTTCCCTGAAGTATTTCTCACTGTCATATACAGGATACCAGACCCCAAAAGCCCCTAGTCTATGCTGTTGTGGGAGTTCCTTTCTTTCCCCTCCACAAACTGATATTGAGGTTAGTTGAAGGGTAACTGAGATCTTTCAAATAACTTATCTTACATAACAGTTGACATAGTGTGGTAAATTTCTATTTGAGAAACTCACGTATGTACCATCACGGTACAAGTAGAAAATGGGCTAGATTTAGAATAAAAAGACCTAAATTCAAACCCTGGCTCTGCCATTTGAAACTTGGGTGACCTTAGGTCAATTACTGTATCCCTCTGGGGCTCTGTTTACTCATCTGTCAAATGGGAAGAGGTGGACTCATTGACCTCTGCAGTTCTGACCAGCTCTCAGTCTATGATCTTATGAGATGGCACCTTGGTTATAGAGCTCTGAAAGGCAGTATCCCACTGGACCGGGTGACTGTGCGGCAAGTCTTCCTCCTTCAGAGTGCTTTCTGAAGAGCTCTCTACAAGTAATGGCCATTTTATTATATCAGCGTAATGAGTTCAATTGTTGGGCGACAGGAGTTTTCAGAAGCAGGGAGCTATTTCTCCCCTCCAGGCTAGCATAAGGGAGAAGGACACAGATAGGATGTCTCTGGGCTCTTCCAAAAACCCAAAGGAAAAAAAATGATGCTGAGTGAGAACTTTGAAAAGGGGACATGTATCTCTGGGGAAATGGAAATAGAGTCAGCTGCTGGGGCAACAAGGAAAGTCATACTCAATCCCACAGACAAATGAGAGTATCTCTGCTACAGTTTCCTCATCAATAAACTGAGGTTAATTATATTGACCTAATTTGCAGAAGCCTCCTGTGGCTAAATTAGAAATGCTAAGGGAGTGGGGAAAGACTAACTGCTCTATAAATGCTAAGTGGTACCACGAAGACCTCGGTCTTATGGTGGACCAAACTCCTGGTGACTTATTTATTCAACTCGATTATTTATAGTCCATGACCTTAGGCCACTGGAATTCATCACCAAGGAAGCAAATGTGATGTCACAAACATGAGATTGCTTCATCACTGAATCACCCTCGGGTCAGTGAAAGAGCAGCCTGCACAAAAGGAGAAAACAATGCTTTCACAGGAAGTTTTCAGCCTTCAAACATCCCTAGAAACGGGAAGCAACAGCTAAGTAGGATTTTATCAATCAAATAATTTCTATTCCTGAGAAAATGATAAAAAACAATAACAATAATAATAATATATTTTAAAAGAGGTGTTCCTAATTCCTTAGTTGCTCTGCCATCCTGCTTTCCCCCTTCCCCCCACATCTCTTTTTTCCCCTTCTGTCTGGGAATGTGACAGAGACAGACTATTGAATGTCTTGGAGGCCCTGTTATGAAATAACCAAATAAAAGTTTTGGGTGATTTAATGAAAGAGAAAAATAAGCTGCCAAACACCAAAAATATATCGCTGTAGGATGAAGCTTTTCAGGATTTGTTATGATGACATTAGTAAATGTTCTTAACTAGTAAGCATGAAAGCACAGATGCTGACAAAATCCTAAAGCTTCTCTTTTTTTTTTTCAAAAGCTCACTAACGACATTTACATCATTAAAACGGTGCAGCTTGGGTAAGGTTTGGTTGTCTTGTTCTTTAGCAAAATAATCTCAGTCTTGGCTTTTTTTCTCCACTAATAGTGTACCCTATAACAGCCTGATTGATGAATATTAAAATATGTAAAATTAACATTACATTTGGAGCCCTTTTTGCGACAGAACCCTCTTTAATTTAGCCTACACTGGCAGTTTTCACAGCTTATAAACCAATTAATCTCTTGTTATAATCCAAGCTGAGTGGTATAAGGCTGATTTAAAACTTTATAAAGAGGTTGTGGGGTGGCTAAACCAGAGAATTTGTTAGGAGACATGTGACATGCAAGACAAAATCTTTGTGGTCTAGTTAGAAAGAGCTACAGCTGAACTGAATTGATATGGACTAGTCCAGGAGCAACTATCCAAACATATCTGAAATTTACTTTAATGGGTCAATGTAGTTTCTTCATTGAGAAGCAGCACAGTGTAATGGAGGGACCATTGGATTTGGAGTCAAAAGACCTGAATTTGAATGACCAGCTCTGTGACTTAACAATTGTGTAGATTTGGGAAAATCCCTTCATTTTTCCCAGGTTCCATTTCCTCATCTGTAAAATAGAAGAGTTGGGCCAGACTACACCACAGGTCCTTTCTGGCTCCAAATCTTATGAGTCGACATGGGCACTCTCTTCACCAGAGCACATCTAACCATCAGAGCTATCTAAAATGAGAATGGACTACTTAAGGAGTAGCAAGCTCCCTAGTCAGTAGAGGTCTGCTAGTACCAACTGGATGATGACTTCTCAGGGATGCTATTGAGAGAAGATTCACAGAATCTAGGAACTGGAAAAGCTCACAGAGATTCGCCTAGTCTAACCCATACTGGAACAGGAATGCCCTCTACAACCTACTCAACACAAGGTTACCCAGCCTAATCTAGACCTCCAATGAAGGGGAATTGCCAGTTCATGGTATCAGTATAGAAAGTTGGGCTACTACTTTCTGAAGAAGCCCATTTCACTTTTGGATACCTTTAATTTTAAGTAACTTATCTTCTAAATAAAATCTAAACATGTCCCTTTATAACCTCCTCCTATTGCTCTTTATTCTGGCTTCTGGAGCCAAATAGAACAAATCTACTCCCTCTTCCATCAGGTACTAAAGATGATTATCAACTTCCCCAAGTCTCCTCTTCCCCAGGCCAAAAGACTCTAATCATAAAAGATTTACTAATTTAGAGACTAAATATTCATGAACTATACAACACATCAGGTTACACCAATATGGTAACTCTTAACACGTAAAATGTGCCTTTAATGTTTACAAAGCATGCTCCTCACAACTCAAGGAGTCAGGGGATAGATAATATAATTTTATTTCATCTATATCTTGGCTTTTTAATATACCCACACATGCTGAACCATTCATAAATATTTCTACAAGAGATTCTGACAGATGTGGGATAAAATAGACCTCCAACTCCACTTATGAGTTGAACTTGGTCAACTCATTGATATCATTTTAAAAAAATGACTAACAGGGAATAAGATCATAGATGTAGAGCTGCAAGGGACCTCAGAAATCATCAGGCCTAATCCCCTCATTATACAGAGCCCCAGAGAGATGAAGTAACTTGTCCATGGTTAAGTAACATAGATAAGTAATTAATCTGGAATTAGGACCCAGATGCTCTGATTCCAAATCCCAAGCTCTCTTCAGTTGCATGATAAGATCTCTCAGATCCCTTCAAGGTGATCCAATGATCTGTGATTCCATTATTTTGTTTTTATGATGTAAATTATAAAGGTTGTAAAATTCCCATCCCCAAAGAAGCGGTGATGCTAAATTCTCTGATTTCCCCATACTCTAAAGGACGTTATGCTGATGATAGGTAGTTGCCATAACATACTTACATTTCAGGTCTAAGTTTTCTTCTGAGAATTGGGAAGTGTTGGGAGAAAAGTTCAGAAAATAAACTTCTGCAGAATAATGTGTATCTTTGCATCATTCTGTCAATGCACTTGGCCCTCCCTGCCAGGCAGACCAGACTCAATGCCCAGCCAAAGTGACCAAATCTGTACTTATCTACAGCACTCACCATCTCATCCCTCTCCCTTCTTTCTCTTTTCCACACCATTCACAGGATCCTCTTAGAATGAACTGATTCACATTCATGCTGCTGTCTTCTCCACGCACATCTATTTACACACTCCTAAGCACTCAACACAAACACTTGTCCTCTATTCACCCTCCTGTCTTTCCTTCACCACTTCCCGTGCACTTTCCAAGCACTCCATGACCAACACGAGCTCTAAAGCTAAACTGTTAACTACCTCTCTGCTTCACTCTGCCACCATCTTGACCTTAGGCATACAACTGTGGCCTCCCTATTCAGCATGTTCAACATCAGAAATGTACCCAAGTACAGCAGGATGCCCATTCTGTATCATCTGACAATTTTCCAGGCACCCTCACTCACTCTTGCTCCAAGGTGCTTCTCCAAAAGCTTAAATTTGTAGAACAATAGTGTCAAACTCAAATAGAAAGGGGGAGAGAACTGAACATAAGTTCCCTGAGCACAGTGACCCAGAAAATCACGCATTAATATTATCTGTCCTTTATTGTGTTTTTATTTACTCTGTTAAATATTTACCAACTACGTTGTAATCTGATTCAGGCCACACTCAGGAGTACTGCAAGCCCAAAATGATGTATTTGACACCTCTCTTACAGACTATTTCTCATAGTCATTTTAACTTGAAAACTGTAAAGCTATTTTAAAAATAGCTAACATCCACTGCCATTCATTTACACCTCAGTACCTGCCCTCTGCTCCAGGATAACCTGTTGACCACACCACCCAGGTGGAACCATGAGGTGCAGTGACTTTGCTGAAATATACCCCTTTTCCTGTCCCCTCTGTCTTCCTTGCAGGCTGTCTGCTACCATAAAAGTTGCTATTATTCATTCTCATTTTACAGATATGCAAACTGTGTTCAATAATAACAACCACCAAAGAGATGATGGAGTCAAAATTAGAATGCAAAGCCATTCTTTTCCCCCACCTATTTCTCCACAGGAGAATACTTTTTTAAAATAGACCAAGACAAAACAGTGTAGTGGAAAGAGCATAGACCTGGGAATGAGGGAACCTGGGTTCTGATCCCAGATCTGCCATTAATTCACTGCTCGACCTCAGGCAAAAATCCTTCTGCTCTGTGGGTCTCTGTTTCCTCATCTGTAAAATGAGGAAGTTGGACAAGAAGATCCCTATGGTACTTCCCTGCTTTAATATCCTAGGATTCTGAGACTGCATGACTAACATGCAGAATTTATACAGGTGTTTATAAAGTAGTCAAAACCTTACTGCTGCTATTCCCATTAAAGAAATGACAATATCATGTTTTCATATTTACTGGCACATATTGCATTCAGATTACACAGATAAAAAAAGAGCTCTTCTTGGGGAGAGATTCTCCTAGGCATATAATCAGTAAGACTGATATATTTAGTCACAAGAAAGAGTAATTCTTCACCTTAATTTTTAAAAAATAAATGTGTTCAGTAAAATAAAGTAATAGATACATAAGGACACAAATTCCCCAACTCCAGAGAATTATTAAATGCCTCAGTAAAATATTTATCCTCATAAATCTACTTGGCAAAAGGCTCTGCAAAAAAAAAAAAGTAATAAAGATTGTATGGTTTATTGCAAGTGGATTTTTCAAAAACACCTGCTGTGCACAGAGGTTTAGAAAATAGTATGACAGCTCTGTGTGTGTGTTTAAGAGTAAAGAGCCATAAAAATGGGAAAATATCTATTTTACTTAATATGAAGCTGATATATTCTAACTATTCCTGGATTAGAAAACTTAGGATCATTTCGAGATTAATCTGTTCCTGTTAATATTTTCACATTTTAGAGTCATGGCAGGTTCAGCTCTGCATGCCACCATCATTCCTAGGATTGTTTTAACCCTTCAAAAAATGAGCAGCAAAAAGAAGATGGTCAACATGGAATGGTAGAGCACCAAACATCAGCCATACACATAGCACCCAAAAACATGTTGAAGTTAATAAAGGAATGTAAATCCCTGTATGATGGAAGAGCCCTAACCCTGGGGCTCAAATCTCCACCCTGATACTGAACACAGGGCCTCAGTTCCCTCATCATTAAAATAATGGCATTGAATTAGATGGTGTCTAAACCAATGATCTTCATTGGGCATCTAGTGAGCAATGATTTACCACTATTTTAATTACATGGTGCTTTTACATAAACACACACACATGTATGACCGTTTAAAATATTAAGTCTTTACAAAAATAATTTCTATTCTAACTGGCCCAAGTCAAATACTGTCCTATAATTTTTCAAAAGAGAAGCAGGATTGGGTGCTATAATATGAAGAGAAATTGCAAGTTTTTAAGGTATTAAGGAAAGCTGTGATAATATTGGTCATTGATTTTCATAAGGATCATAGGTTTCAAGCTGTCAGGGATTATAGAGGTCATTTAGTCCAATCAACCATTTTACAGATGAGGAAACTGTGGTCCAAACAGGTCTAAGGGCAAACAGATAGTAAGTGGTATAGC